GTCCCCTGTCCCACACATGTCTAGCCCCCTCCATTATTAACATCCCCTACCAGCGTGGTCCCTTTTATAGTTGATGGACCCATACTCCTGTGGCATACTCCCATGGACATGACATGTCACCCTCAGTCCATCGTTTACTTAGGGTTCACTTTTGGGGGTGTCCATTTTACGAGTTTGGACAAATATATGATATTTATCTCCCATTGTAATGTCATACAGAGTATGTTCCCTGCCCTAAAAATCTTACCTGCTCCACTTGTTCATCTCTTCTGCACCACTAATGTTTTTACTGTCCCAATAGTTTTGCCTCTTTTAGAATGTCACCTAATTAGAATCTTGGTAGCCTTTTCAGATTGGCTTTTCTCACTTATAATGTGTAAGTTTCCTTTGTGTATTTTCATGGCTTGACAGCTCTGTTTTTTTTTTTTCAGTTCTGAGTAACATTCCATTGTCTGATTGTTCCACAGTTTGTTCATTCACCTGCTACAGGATGTGTGGGTTGCTTTCAAGTTTTGGCCATTGTGAATAAAGCTGCTGTAAACATCCATATGCTCATTATGTGGAGATAAATTTCCCACTCCTTTGGGTAAATACCAAGGAGCACAACCAAAGGATTGTATAATAAGAAAATGTCTAGTTTTATAGGAGACCACAAAATATGTTGTTTATTTTCTTACTGAGTTTTAAGAGTTCTTAATGTGTTTTGGATGATGGTACTTTATCCAATAGGCCTTTGAAAATATTTTCTGTCTGTGGATTTATTCTCTTAACAGTATCTTTTGTAGAGCAAAAGTTTTTAATTTTAATGAAAGCCCAGATTATCTTCTTTGTGCCATGGATCATGCCTTTAGTGTTGCCATCTAGATTTTTGCCTGTGTTATCTTCCAGGAGTTTTATAGTTTTGTGTTTTATATTTAAATCTGTCATCCATTTTGAGAGTGAATCTTCATGAAGAGTATAAGGACTGCATCTAGAGACTCCCCCCTCCCACCCCTGTCCCGCCCCCCGTCTTGTGAATATCCACTTTTTCCAGAATCATTTATTGAAAATGGTCTTTTCTCCATGGTATTGCCTTTGTTCCTTTGTCAAATATCATTTAACTACGCTTATTTGGGTCTGTTTCTAGGCTCACTATTGTGTTTTATTGATATTTGTCTGTTGTTTTTTTTTTGTTTTGTTTTGTTTTACCAGTACTACACCATCTTCATCACTGTAGCTTTATAGTAAGTGTTGAAGTCAAGTGGTATCCCTCTCCAGCTTTCTTTAATATTGTGCTGGCTAGTCTGGGTCTTTTATCTTTCCATATAAACTTTAGAATCAGTTTCTTGATATCTACAAAATAACTTGCTGGGCGTTCTTGTCTCTTTTAAGGACTCATCTGATAAGGTCATCTGCAAAATCCCCTTTGCCATACATCATATAATTCTGAGACTTGCCCATGATTAAAGAGAGGACATTATACAGGACATGTACATTGGGGAGCAGAATCCTGGGGGCCATCTTAGAATTCTTCCTACCATAAAAATAACATTGTTGAGTACCTTCTGAAGTGAAACACTGTTTGATTAACCCCCCCACCGTGAGCTAAATGGTATTGGTAAAGGTTTTTTGTTTGCTTGTTTATTTCTTTTCTGGTGTGCTCCAACCACCCTACTCTCTACCCAGGTGCTGGGAATTGAACCTACGGCCTTGCCCATGCTAGGCAAGGACTTTGGCACTCAGCAGCATTCCCAAGTTCTACTTGGAAACTGAAGCTCAGGAAAGTTAAGTCATTTGTACAACTTGTATGTGTCATGGTCAGGATTCTAACTCAACTCCATTGGTATCCAAATTCCAGACTCTATTTTGCCACATTTCCTGATAAATCCTGTCACTTTTTCCTTTCCAGTCTGTTTGCATTTCTCCAGCCTACTGTGTTGGCTGTAGGCTGTCATCCCCTTCCCTGGCCTCCAGCAGCAACCTCCAGATTGGCCTTCTTCCCTTTGTTTTGTTCTTCTCCAGTCCATTCTCCACAGTTCTAAGTGCAACCTTGACTGTGAAACCCTTTGTTGCTTAAAATATTTGAACTGCTTCTTCTACCTGGAGTCCATGCTCTATAATAGGGGATGTAAGACCTCAGCTTATGAGCTTTGTCTACTTCTCTAACATCATTTTTTTTTTACCACTCTCATCTTTGATGAGGGTACCATGTGTTCCCTCTGCCTAGAATACTCTTAACCACTCTTCATATCCTTACTTCTGCCTGATTTCTGATTAAATTTAAATGTCATTTCCTCCAAAAGGCTTCTTTTGACTCCCTGACTTGGCGAGATACTCCTATTACATGTTTGCATGAAACCATTACTTTCCTTGTAATAGCATTGCATTTTATTATAATGGCATATTTATCTGTTTTATCTGTCAGGTTATAAGCCTCACTCTTGGCTATATTCCCAATGTCTGGCATATAGTGGAACTAAATAAATATGAATAGTTGAATGACAAGGTCCTTTTTTTTAAAATTTCTGTTTGTTTTTATTTTGAGGGGCTTTTTTTTTTTTTTTTTTTGGCAGCACTGGGGTTTGAAATTAGGGACTCACACTCACAAGACAGGTACTCTCACTGATTGAGCAACTCCACCAGCCCTTTTTTGTGATGGGTTTTTTTGAGATAGGGTCTCATGAACTATTTGCCGGGGTCTGACTTTGAACCATGCTCCTACTGATCTCTGCCTCCTTGCGCCCAGCTGAGTTGTTTTTTATTTGTTTGTTTGTTTTTTGGCAGTGCTGGGCTTTGAACTCAGGACTTCATGCTTGCTAGGCAAGCACTCTACCATTTGACTACCATTTGACTCCACCAGCCCTACTTTCTTTCTTGTTTTTTAAGAGAGGGTATCACTATATAGCCAAGGCTAGCCTCAAACTCAGTCCTCACGCCTCAGCTTTCTAATTACCGGGATTATACACATGTAGCACCATGCCCAGCTCAGAGTATTTTAATAGGTTACTTTTTTGTTACCTTTGAAATGTCTCCCTTTTCATCTTCTTTTCCTTCTTTGCCATGAAATGCTTTTAATATCACCTATGAGAAAAGGTATGAGCTTCTCATGTGTTTTATTCAAGATTAGTATATGGTATAGCCAAGAGAAGATAATGGGCCTTTAAACTTTATATTTCATGTGTTTTCCACAGTTTATGCTCTTCACTCCATGAGAGTAAGATCCAGGCTTCAAAAGCTCATGCTCTTAACTGCTTATGCTACTACCACTCAGAAGAGCTGTTTAATAAATTCCAGTTCATTGCTATGTAATAAAGTCCTTTATAAGAGATATGGCGGAGACCCCTTTCTTCAGTATGTGAATTTGGATCTAGTATGTATGCCACAAATTGTTACTAATTTTTTAAAGGTAGTTTTAACTATGTTCTAGATGTAAGTGGCCTTTGAATAGGGAGATTAACCTTATACAGTATTATATCATGCTCGAGAAAACATTGTTAAAATGCGTTCCTTGTAAGTTTTATAATATGGCCAAATGAGTTATGAAATTTCTAATCTCATATTTTTTCTAATAGTCTCAATAGTAGTGAGATTAATTCTGTAGCTGGGAAAGATTTGGAGTATAGACTTCTATAAATTACTCCTTCATCCTGTACTTTAGTAAATGTCAGGTACATAGATAAGCCATTGTAAAAGGCTAGCATAACATTTTTAAACTAAATTTTTAACAAGTGTGCCACAGCTTTCCAATAAGTGCCATCATGTTCAACGCAGCTACCTTGGAAGGTCCTCAGACTGTTTCCATTCCTCAAAACGATTTCCGTTTAGGACTTAAAGTCAGAGCCATCATACAAGCTTGTATAGTCACTAGACTTTATTTTTTGAGGACAGTTATCTTACGGAAACATTAAGAACTTAAATAAAGTTACTCAAAACAAGATGCAACTCTGTGAAATTATGAGACAAGACTGTGTTGTTTGTTGGTTTTTACTCATCAGATCTGACTCAGGCAAACAGAAGTTCCCGAACATGAATTGTTCATGTCATTATAATAACTGCAGGAGCAGAAAGGACTGTCTTAGGAGGAGGTGGAGAAACAGTCATAGTGAAAGCATGGTTTTTAAGTTTGTTTTAGAAAAGCCATATGGAAAACATCTGGGTTCATTAGATTGAGATTATAAAGTGATAACCCTTTCTTTATTTGAAATAGTAACTTTTTCTGTATTCAGCCTCTCTTTTTTTGGCCCATGATATATACTGGAGACTAATTTAGTCAGAATTGAGTTGGTTGAGTTAGTTATGGTCCTTAGTAAGTCACTATTTCTCTGAGTTTACTTTTTCTAATCCTCAAAGTGAGAGATTTGGATAGGTAAGAGATCTGATGTCCTTTTCCATGTAGGAAAACGGGATTTTTCCTCAAGAAGTCATAAAATGGAGTGCATAGTAATACAGTCTTCTGTTTTATATTTCCCTAGTTGAACTGGCTTTAAAAGTGATTTGATCTTGTTTCTCAGAAATCATATGTTCCTTTTGGCATTGTCACAATACAGTGGAGAACAAGCATGCTTTGTAGTACAAAGCATGTGTCCATGTGAAAGAGATTCGTCTGACATCAACTAACAGAATCGAACCACCAGATATGAATAATAAAATAATTATAAACTACAAATGTCAGTAAAGGCAGGGTTAGAAATCAAAACCAGCGAAATAAAAAGGAATATAGACTTGGCTTTTGGGTTTCTAGTCCCGGAGTTCAAAAAGAAATTATGTGGTTCTGATTTTCAAAGATGAGAAAAAGAAGCACCCAGGAGAGGTAAAGTGTTTTTTAGTACTTGGTTCTGAAAGACATATGCAACATGGGGTTGTATACAGGAAGAATAACTAGCCTGTGGCTGCAGCAAGTGGAAAAATCTAGAGGAAAGAAAATGTTCAAGTATCCTTTGTATTTTATTACCCTGGATTCAGAGTTACTGAACTTGGGTTCTAATCAACTCTTGCCTGTTCTGTTTTCTGTGTGGCACTAGCCAAAAAAGAAGAACATGTCGGCCTATCAAGTGTTCTGTAAAGAGTATCGCGCAACCATTGTGGCTGACCATCCAGGCATAGGTAAGAACCTTTCTCATCTTCAGTTTTTTTACTTCTCATCTGAGTCTCTGAAACAGTGCAATCAATTAATTCAGTCACCAGGCAGCTTCTTCCCATAGTATTAGAATACAAATCTTGTTTCTTTCTTCACTTCTACAAATCTTTTAGATTTTCCCCTAGTTCATCCTACCACCCTGTAAAAGAGCGGAGCATTTTATACATAGCTCTTAAACTGATAAGAGAGGAAGCTGTAAAATTAAATGTTTGTAAGCAATGTGTAGGGGCCGAGTGTGGTGGTGTATTCTTGTAATCCCTATCTGGCAAGACTGAGGCAGGAGGATCACAAGTTTGAGGCCAGCCTGGGCTGTAGAGTGATCCCTGTCTCCGAGTGGGAGGGGGGTAGTGTGTATGTAAATGAACGTAAATATGCAGTTTATGTCCAAGATCTGCAGTTGATCTGTTCTTTAAACCGCCTTTGGGTGTGCTATATTGTTCGTATTTGTCTCTAAATAAGAAGTTAGTGAGACGAGCAACACACTACACCACAGACCTTGCACAGGTCATTTAACTTAAGTTTATCTCACTGGCCTGATGAGTAAGACAGCTGTCCACTCCACAGAGTTGCTGTGAGGTTCACATGAACATTCTTTACAAAGCATGCAATTGTTAAATGGAAAAGTAACGCACCCTCTGGAGGATTGCTTCTGGGGTGCTTTAGGGAACTTGTTCCTTGGTTCTGAGCTCTCAAAAATTTGGTAAAAACCTAACATCTTTTATCAAATACTGTGTAACATACTGTCTTTAAGCTAACTTGGTATGCCTCATGTTGTGAGATCTAATGAAAAGAAACCAAAAAATGCCTAAGGAATAAGTCCCTGGAAGGTAGACGTGTGAAGACTGAGCTTGAAACAAATCAGGCAAAATCTGGTGGGATCTGGTTTGGTTTTCTGAATGAATCTTGGGGTGTTTAAATCTGATCTTCAAAACACTTTTTCCACTTTTTATTTTGTTTTGTTTTGTGGTGCTGGGGATTGAATTCAGGGCCTTGCACATGCTAGGCAAGCTCTCTACCACTGAGCTACATCCCCTGCCCTCACTTTTTCTACTTTTTGCTCCCATTTTTCTGTTTTCTAAAAGTTAACCACATTCTGTATTGGATTTTTTTCCTTTTATGCCAGATTTTGGGGAACTTAGTAAAAAACTGGCTGAGGTATGGAAGCAGTTGCCAGAAAAGGACAAACTGGTGAGTAAGCTTTCTTACAATCATGGTCTTCATTGCTTTTTGCCTCCCAAAAAGCGTAATTCTCCTAAAGATAGTCCAGCCAGACAACACTAAAAATAGTTTAAAAAAAAATTACAAAAGTAATATAAAAAATAGTTTTACAGAGGGCATTAAAGTTAAGTGTTAGTGTCAAGGTACTCGAGGTGAGGATTTGACTATAGGGAGGATAATGTTTCTAACTTTATCTAGGTTTTTTCCAAAAACATAATTGAGCCCCCAAAAAATAGAACAAATGTGAGCAGTGATTGAAGTGCTCTCTACTACAAACATCTAGTGGTAGCTGTGATCCAAGGACTAAGGCCAATCATTCTGCAGATAATTAAAAGATGGGACCAGGCAGAGATAGGAGGCTTGTAGTTCAAGGCTAGCCCGGCAAAAAAGTTAAGGAGACTCTGTCTCAAAGAACAATCTAGGTAGGTGATACATGTTTGCAGTTCCAGCTGTACAGGAAGCATAGGTAGAAGGATCACAGCCTGACACCAGCCTAAGCAAAATGCATGAAACCTTATCTAAAAAATAACGAAAGCAAAAAGGTCTGGAGGAGTGGCTCAAGTGGTAGAGCACCTGCCTAGCAAGCACAAGGGCCTGAGGTCAAACCCCAGTACCTTATCAGCCATTAACAATGTTAATGATGTACCCTATTATCAAGAAGCTAAACAATGATAGTCATATCTGAATCATACACACTTTCCCACTGGATGATAGGAAGGTAGTATGGGAAAAAGAATTGTCTCATACTTTAAATAAAGTACAGCTTTTCTAAATGAAGCAAGTTTTCACCTCAGGTAGATTATCCTTAGCTTCTGTATTCCATGTTACCATTAGCCTGTTGTTGGTATGGATATTAGCTGAGCCAGGTGTTTGGTCTGTGATTTACATTTCAGCCTTAGAGTGATCTGAAAGTCATCCCTGAGAGTTGACAGCAATGGCAAATGTTCATAGACCTCATTTAAAATGGCAGAGTATAACTTGAGTATGGTGGTGCATGCCTGTAATCCTAGCTACTTAGGAGGCTTAAGAGTTCAAGGCCAGCCTGGGTGAAGGTAGCAGCAGATCCTATTTCATAAACAAAATAAAATGCTGGGGCATAGCTCAGCTGGTAAGCACGAGGCCCTGGATTCAATCCCCGGTACAACAAAACAAATAAACAAAAAAGATAGTAGCATATCAGCCATTTGAAGCCAATTCAGTGACCTCAGCTTAAAAATTAGCATTAACCCTCTCTCTGCCCACTTCACTGTTCCCTTTCTGTTCTTCATTTTGTTCTTCCATGATGCCTTGCCCTTTGCTTTGTTTTCTTTATTTCAACTTACTATGCACTAATCTGCTTGCAGATTTGGAAGCAGAAAGCCCAGTATCTACAGCACAAGCAGAATAAAGCCGAAGCCACAACTGTAAAAAGAAAAGCATCCGGCTCAGAAGCTTCCATGAAAGTCAGAGGTACCAACCGCTTTTCCTCCTGCTTTTGATTTTTCTCTGAAGTGCTGTAAATTTTTATTCCTTCTAGGAAATTGGGAGAAGCAGCCATACCCAGGTATTATACTATATACTACAGGTTACAAAAAGAAGTTCAAATTTAGAAAATGTAAGTCATAAATCAGCAGACTTTTTCTGTAAAGACCCAGAAAGTAGGCTGGACATGGTGGCAGGCCTCTATAATCCTTGCCCTTGGGAGACTGAAGCAGGAGGATCATAAATTTGAGGCTAGCCTGGGCTGCACAGTGACTTCCAGGTCAGCTGGAACTACATAGCAAGACCCTGTCGTCAAAAAAATATATATATACATATTCATATGTATGCACATATGAATAATAAAAAAAAAAATCACACAAAAGGGCTGGCACAGTGGCTCAAGTGCCTGCCCAAATCCCAGTTCACAAGCTGTGTGAACCTGTCTGAGACTCAGTGCCCTTCTGCCAAACAGGGACTATAAAATCTACCCCGCTATCCTGGAAAAACCAGGATGGTTTTTCTACTTATCCCTGCCCCCTTAGAGATTGGGGTGAGGTTTTCTATGGGGGCCGCCCGAGCCAAAAAAAAATACAGCAAGTAAATATTACAAGCCTTTGTGTGCCATATGCAGTTGTTTTTTGTTTTTTTACAACCTTTTAGCTCACAGGTCATACAAAAAGAGGTCATGGGCTAGATTTAACCCAAAGGGCATAGTTTAGCTAATGCCTGGTATAGTTCATAAACAGGTAAAATCAGGAATGTTGTTTTCTGATATTTGAGGCTGTAGGCAAATTTTCACCCCTCTGTTCTCAGCTTCTTCTGTAGGAGTACAGTCACCTCCAAAGAAGTCCCCACCCACCACCATGCTGTTACCAGCGTCGCCAGCCAAAGCCCCTGAGACAGAGCCCATTGATGTTGCTGCCCATCTGCAGCTGTTGGGAGAGTCCCTCAGCCTCATTGGACACCGCCTGCAGGAGACAGAGGTGAGTGCAGCTCTCAGCAGCATGACTCCAGAGTCTTACACAGTTTGGATCTTTTGACTCATTTCATATACGTTCATTGAGCAGCTACTTATGCTGAATTATGCCAGGTACTCATTATACAGTGAAAAAACATACCAGTAAGAGAAAGAGTAATACCATCCTGTTGAAATAGTGGCACAAAAAGAACAGGATGGCCTGTAACTGACTTTCATTCTTTAAAAATTCAGTGGAAAGGATGAGTGTGAATCCCATAGCAGCTTTGATCACTTGTACTTCTAAGGGAGTTTGAATTTTTCAGTGCAATCCAGCAAAGTTTTGAATAGGCAGACTAGATTATACAAGAGATCAAAAGTTCCTCTTTTTCTTTGGGAATAGGTAGCAAATGGGGAAGTCAAGGCTCTCAAGTGCTTCATTACCGTGTGCTTGAACTATATGGTGCTATGTGCCCAGGGGAGATCTTTGTCATCGTAGGCTTCAGTTTCAAAAATCACTTAACCTGCAGAGCTATCATGTTCCATTTTTGTTGCCATATTCAGTTTGTGACTGTACTGCCCCTTATGAAACTCAGTAGTATAGTAAGTACTTCAGCTCTCAGTTCTAATAAGACATTTCAGCGAAGAACTCACTCTATACCACTAAAACCATTTTTAAGCTAAGAAGTCAGTGCAGGAATATAAAATTAACCAGTTGCTTCTGTATGAAAGCTAAGTAATCATTCAACAAATAAAATTCCAAGAGCCACAAGAGATGAATCTACACTGAGTTCTTTGGCTAATTTCTAAAAATTCAGTGGATATCAGAAGAGCTCAGACACTCATATAGACTTATTAAATATCTGAATGAGTAAAGATATTTCTAGAATAAAATATTCTGTGATCCTTACTTATTTTTCATATTTAACCATTCTTAGATTTCCTAAAAAGTTAGAAGTAAAAATGGTTTGTTTTAAGCACATTGCAATTCCACATTTTCCCATTTTGTTTAGCAAATATTTGTTGAATGCCTGAGCCTTATTCTAAGATCTTGAGGAATACAATATCTGAATACTGGGCAGAGATGGTAGGGCTGTAGACACAGCCAGCTCAGGGAAAAAAAGTTAGTGAGACCCTATCTCAAAAAACAAGTCGGGGCTGGGCACCAGTGGCTCACACCTGTAATCCTAGCTTAAAGCCAACTGGGGCACATAGTTCGTAAGATCTGTCTTAAAACACCCATCAGAAAAAAGAGTTGGTGGAGTAGCTCAAGATGTAGGCCCTGAGTTCAAAACTCATTTCCACTAAATAAATAAAAGTTAGGGAGAGAGGAGGGAAAATGTGGCTCAGGTAAGGTTCTGAGTTCAAAACCCTAGTACCACAAAAAATATATATATAATACCCTCACTGTGTTTTTCTCTCATCCCAAGCATGACACAGTAGGACAGAGGGAGATGCTGTTCAGAACAGCAGGCAATTTAAAACTTATGAATTGAGGTCAGGAATCCATAATCCCAGCACTTGAGAGGCTGTCTGAAGCAGAAGGATCTTGATTTGAGACCATCCTCGTAGGATATATAGCAAGACCCTATAAAGAAAAAAAATAAAGGACTGTAGGTATGGCTCAAGTGGTAGATACAGCATCTGCCTCGCAAGTGCAGAGCCCTGAGTGAGTTCAAACGCCAGTACAACCAAAAAAAAAAAAAAAAAAGTCCTACTAAAGTATATTTTACATACCACTTCTAAAGTACAGAATTTAGTGAGTTTAATATATATTTGTTTTGTTTTGGCAGTACTGGGATTTGAACTCGGGATTATAGGTGTAGCTATATATTCTCAGAATTGTGGGCTGTCATTACTCTCTGATTCCAAAATATTTTCATTATCCACAAAAGAAGCTCCATACACAGTAGCATCAGTCCCTGTTCCCTCTCTAGCCCATTTCTTTTCCCAGAGTTCAGTCACTTGGATATAGCCTCACATTTTTACAATTTCTGTGTACCACTTATACTACTATTTATTTTTATAGTTGAGTTCAAATTAATTTGTATGTGCTTTTACAATGCCCTTAACATCACAAGGGTGATATTCTAATTTTTTCTAAAGCACACCGTAACAGATATGTAGCCATCAAAATAATTAATGTTTTTCTATATGCCACATGAAAATTACATGCCACACTTTAAGAAACATTGCCTTACATCATTTGCTAATTTGGAGATTAAGTGCCTGAAACTTCATGAAATTAAGTGAATGTCACAAATTTACATAACTCCTAGTAATAGAGCTAGAGCCCAGTTGGCCTCCCTTCCAGCCCCATTCTCATTGTACATCGTATGCTCACTTGAGCAGTTAGAAGACTGTTAAGAACAGTCAGAGAGGTGTTATGAAAGAGAAGTGTTCAAACCAGATCTTAATGGATAAGCAGGATTGTGTCCTGTGGACAGGCTGGAGAAATAAAATGGCAAGCACCTGCTTGTCAACCTCCAGGTTGCCAAGAAGAATGAAAGAGGCCTATTGAGGCTCTAGACCCATCTCTACTGGAACTCAATCTTTTGGCTATTTTATATATTGGGGTTCCATAGAAGATTTCATTTGAAAGACAGTTTTATAGGCCGGGTGCTGGTGGCTCATGCCTGTAATCCTAGCTACTCAGGAGGCAGAGATCAGGAGGATTGCAGTTCAAAGTCAGCCAGGCAAATAGTTCAAGAGACCTTATCTCAAAAACACCCAACATAAAAAAGGGCTGGTGGAGTGGGTCAAGGTGTAGGCCCTCAATTCAAACCTTAGTACCACAAAAGAAAAAGAAAAACAGTTTTGCTGCTAACATTTTGAAACACTTGGAACACACAATATATGAGGTGGAAAGCGAAGGCTAGAACCCAGATTACAGAATGTCTTTATGGACACTGAAGCGTTGATACTTAGCTGGTCAAGAACTGCATGGGTTTTTTGAGTGGACATGGATGAGGTGAGAGCTCCCATTTGGTCTTCTCTAAGAATATCTTCTGTTTTAGATTGTAAATAAAAAGAGACTAGAATTGGGAAGAAGTTACAACAGTAATCTAGTGGAGACATGATAAAGATTTGACTTTAATTCAAGTGTTTATTGAGAAGTGCTTGGTTACATAGGAGTGGAGTCGTGCTCCCCATGGGACTGTCCTTTGATAGAGCTCTTGTGATTCCCCACAGCACAAATGTGGGACACAAATAAGTTACTGGAAGGCCATAAAAAAGGAATAGGATTTTAAAAAGCATTTGAGGCCATCAACCAGAAGATGGTGAGAGCATGAGGAGCATGGTCCCAGCTCCTGTCTCCTCTCCTTGCAGGGCATGGTGGCGGTGTCTGGCAGTTTGTCAGTGCTTCTGGATTCCATTATCTGTGCTCTTGGTCCCTTGGCATGTCTGACCACACAACTACCTGAACTGAATGGCTGTCCCAAACAGGTCTTGGTGAGTTCTCCTTATTGTCCTTTGATTTTTAGAGCCAGAGAGGCCCTGCCTTAATGAGTGCTGTCAGTTACAGACACCTAAAGCTTCGTGGCACATAGCACTCCTTTATATATTGTCCCACGAAACGTTACACTCAATTATTAGTGCATTGTCTGTTTTCAGTGAAACTAGAAAACAAGCCATTTCCCAAAATAGTACTTTGGAGAAAAGCATCTAACCACTGAGGTGCTGTAACTCCTGCATCCTCTATTTGCTCTTCTGCACACAAAGACCATACAGGAACTTTCTGCCTCTTTGTTACTGAGATTAATGGGAGAAGTCCGCAGAAAAACTCATAGCATATAACCTGCAGCAGGATATCTTCATTCTCACCCAGTTTTTTCTAACTCCACTTTTGCTTTCTCATCTCTCCTGTGAATAAAGAAACATGATCAGGGAACTGCAGTAAAGTACTTCAATTGAACCCTTTCTCCTTGTTTTCCAGTCAAACACATTAGACAACATCGCTTACATCATGCCTGGACTGTGACAACAAAGAGTCCTGGGACAGAGACCTTGTTCTACCCTTTTGCTGGTTTGTGTATATATATCTGTTCCAGATCCCTTCACTGGCTTCTGGGTGTAGGTTTTAAATTTTTATATCTATCTTATCTATCTATCTATATATATATATAATGTACAAAATATACATAGGACTGTAACTACTTTGCTTTTAATAATTTTATGAAATGGTAAAAGTTTAGCCAAGGGGAAACTTTGGCATGAATGTGGGCTTAGGATTATTTCTTATGGTGGATAAATCTGCCTTAAAAATCAGTGTAACTTGGGAGCTGGGGGCTTGTGGGTGCCATGTGCATCTCCTTATGGACAGCTAAAATGTGATTTTTTTTTTCCAAACTCAATTGTACCTCCAGACCCATCACTGACCATTTGCCTTACCTGTCTTACACTTGGAAATGTAGTAAGAAAGATTATGGGACGATGACAGCTGACCTTTCAACTTGAAATGACCAAGGGGGAGGTGATAGGATCAGATCTTTCCCACTGTAGCTGTTGAGGAGGTCTGAGTAGGGGTTCATTCTAGAGCCTACTATGCAGGTGTCCACATCTCAAGATTTCTTGTAATCATTGGTACCAATGGCAGCCTCAGTAGAGACCAAGGAGTTACGTGATTCCTGGCAGCAAAAAAATCACTTGGAGTGGGCAGAGCTGTCAGTGCCACCAGTTGAACCTGCATATATTCTCAGCCAACCAAAAATATTTGGTCTGCAAAACCAAGAGCTGTATCTTTCATTGGCAGCATTAGGTTGGCTACCAAATCCTCACAAATTCTGCTGCTTAGTTGCTTGGTGGTTATAGAAGGTAAACTTTGCTCGGCATGGTTGCTGGGTTCATCTTATCAGTTCCCTTGGTGAGCAGATACAGTGTTCTGCATTCCACATGTGAGTGAAGTGCAAAAAACGTACCCGATTCTCATGTGGGTTTATTTATATGTGCGTGTGAATGTGTATTTTAATTATGTATATTTAACTCTTCAAAATTTCTTAGATTTTAATTTATCCTGTAAATTTCTGTATATATAATTTAACTACAAAGCCTCTACCAGCAGCAGCATGTGGAATACAAATAATCTCATTTCTCTTCCCTTCCTCTGGTCTGTTCTGAAAACTCCAAATCATCTACATTTTAAGGTGTTATACCTCAAAAAGGAATCATTATGTTAGGATTCTAATTCTCTGTAAAGAACTTCATGGCTTTCAATAATGTTAAAGAAAGTGAAATATTACCATTCCAAGCTACCCTTATTTCCAAAGAACTAGACCTGCTTCCCAGTTGGAAAGAAAAGCCACTTCAGGGTGGTTTTTTAAAAATTTGATGTGAGAGTCTCTGGTAGAACCGAGCTCTGAGGTAAGCATGCTTTCTTCCCCTGGCCTAGATGGAGCACGACAACATCACAGTAAATCTTTGGGGATGGTGCAGCCAACTTGTGTCCTATTTAATTCCTTCCCATCTCCCCACCAATGCTCACAGAACTATGCTTCTCAAAGGTATTCTAGCTGCTGAGCCTCTTTCTCAGCTCAGAGAAGTTTTGAGATTAAATTGGGCAAGCAGAAGAAACCAGGAATGTTTGGGAACTAAAATCAAGACGAGCAGAAATCTTAGCTTGAGTTCGTGTGTGAGAACCTTCTACGGCACCTCCTCTGTACCTATAGAAGTTTCCTGTTGACCCAGGGTGTGGAGGGCCAGGAAGAAGTCGTCCTGTCATTGTCATTTGTGCACGTGAATGAAATCCTGATGAGGACCTGCTTTTCATTTGTTTCCTGTTTTATTTGTATTTGAGATTTGTACACATTTGTATAATAACCTGTACCTCGAGGTACTTGGTACTGTTAGAGGAAAAACTTTGGATTCAGGCCTTCTTGCAGTTTTTATATCATTGTTTTATTTTGTTTTTTAAATAAATTCTAGTGGTTTGATCCAAATCCCATTACAGTTGTATAAAGAAACAAAATTTTGTACTTATATTATTAAAGATCACATTTTTAATATTTGTAGTCCCGTCTCAGCTGTCTTTTCCCTAATTGTGCTAATCATAATTGCTATGAAATTATAAAATCTGTCTTTTTTTTTTTTTGACACTACTAGGGTTGAACTCAGGGCCTCACACTTTCCAGGCAAGTGCTCTACCACTTAAGCCACTGTAGTACTCCTGTTTGTGCTTCCCTGCATAGCTGGGGTAACAGGCACATACCACCATGCCCAGTCATTGCTTGATGGGCTCTTGCAAACTTTTTGCCCCAACTGGCTTCAAATCATCATCCTCCTGACCTCCTGAGTAGCTAGAATTACAGACTCGGGTCACCTTTCCCAGCCTCATCATTTCTTTAAAAAAAAAAAAAAAAACTACCTGAAATAGAGGTCATTTCTAATGTAAGTCATTTTCCTAACTTATATCCTATTCTGTTTCTATTAATTTTCACATTGTAGAGGCCTACAATCTCATTTGTAAATTTTAAGTAAAGCCAGGGAACCCCATAGCTGTAGGGTTGGGGGTTTTTTTTGTTTGGTTTTTTTCTTTTTTCTTGGTAGTACTGGGGTTTGAACCCAGGGTTTCACATTAGCTGGGCAGATGCTCTACTGCTTAAGCCACACCTTCAGCCACTGTGACTATTAATTGACAAATGAAATGACGTGCATTATGGTGTTGGCCTAAATCAGGAAACTACCCATTAATCTTGTGTTAGAGCCACACCTGAATTATGTGCTAAAAATTTTACATTTTACACTGTTTCAGTATTCTCCCAGCTTAGTCAGTGATACTGAATAATCAATCTTCTAGGGGTTCCCAAAGTCACATCTGTAAAGTAATGGCACTTTCCTGTCTCCAAGCTTACAACCAGCCAGCCTAACGTGAATGTTTAGTAACCTCATGAACATTGAATATATGAACACTTAACCTTGCAAGGTAAAAAGTTCAGTGGAAACAACATAGCATTAAAAGTTATAAATAATAAAATAATATGGTTGATTAAAAGGCTAAAATAGGTAGAAGAGACAACCATATCACTGAATGACTTACTGAGAGTGGTTTACATACATCCTCTCGGTCCTCTCAGAGACCTTGTAAATATCATCCCATTTATGGTTGAGGCAACAGATGAAGAAAAGTACTTTTCCTTAGTTTATAAAGTAGTAAATGGCAAATCCCAAGTAAAAATGTTGGTACCTCTGGCCTCAAAGCCTAGGCTGTTTCTACTCCAACCTACCTTCAAATTTAAGTTGTGTGTCTGGGTCTGGTTCCAGGGAGACCACTCATGAGGAAAAAGCTAATGCTTAGTATGCATTAGTTCAGCGCTATACTACGGATGATTCATTTTCCCAGAAGGCCACCCAATTTCCCACTGAAGACAGTGGGCCTTTCAACAAATCTCAAATTTTCAATAAATCTCATTTATCATGTTAACTTTTAACTTGTTTGGGGGAAGGCGTATTTTTTTGTTTTTCTTGGTGCTGGGGTTTGAACTCAGTGCTGCATGCTTGCTAGGCAGGCGCTCTACCACTTGAGTTCCTCCTCCAGTCCTCTTTTGGGTTGGGTATTTTTGAGATAGGGTCTGGCTTTGAACTGAGATCCTCCTGATCTTTGTCTCCTGAGTAGCTAGGATTACAGGCTTGAGCCACCAGCACCCGGCTGAGATTAATTTGAGACCCACTGTTGTAGTTCAGAGACCCAAGAACTCCCTGGAGCTATAAGTAAAATTGTGCCTTTTTTCCCCCTTAGAAGGCTCAAAGCTTACTTCGAATTCTCAAAGTTGCCTGTGACCTTAAAAAAGTGGTTAGGGGTCCTAGGATCTAATTCCAGTACCCAAAGAACATGGGAGCTCACTGTTTGAATCATGCAGCAAATTACTGGCAGGGTAGGGTGCCACAGGCCCCACTGGTGACTGCTTTGCGCCATCCTTGGTGCTAGCCGATCCCTGGCCGCAATTAATCTGGCTCTTAGTCTCAAGGGAACACAAACCCAGGCCCTTGCCTCCTATTGGAGGCAAGCGAACTTGGGCTGTAAGCAGGGCACATCTTGGAGCAGAGATCTGACTTCAAACAGGAAAAGCCCGTCAGGGTAGGGAGGTTGTCACCTAAAGGGGTAGGTATGTAGTCACAGTAAGGTTCCCAGGACTAAAGGCTAAGACACTGATATATGTCTGAGCTTCTACGAAATCTTACCCAAGTCATTTACCTGGCCTGAGACCCAGTTTCCAGCTATGTAGCCATTTAGGCCACGCCCCTAAAGACTTCAGCCCTCTCTGTGGGCGTGGCTTAGAGGTCCAGGCTCTGGCCCCGCCCCGGCCCTCTGCCGTGCATGACGACGGCCAACGCCAAAGAGCCACCTCGAGGTCCTTACTCTCCGCCTCGGGCGCCCTCCTCGCGTCGGGGGCGGGGCCTATAGCTTTGCTCTAGAGCCCGGGCCCCGCCTCGCCGACACCTCCCCTCGGGCTCTCCGGCGCGTCACGTGACGGAGCAGCAGAGCTGGCGGTTGCTGTCAGCTGATTCCCGGGGTTGGTGGCAGCGGCAGCCACGGAGATGGACTTTCTCCTGGGGAACCCGTTCAGCTCTCCAGTGGGACAGCGCATCGGTGAGTCCCTGGAGCCCCGCACAACTCCGCTGCAGTGCTCCACACGGATCTCGGCCCCCGGGGTATCTCCAAGTCCCCAGTCAGGACGTGGGGCGGCCAGGAGGGCGGCGAGGCTGGCTTGTAGCTCCCCTGTCTTGTCCCCGCCCACACTTGATTGGTAAGAGCGCGGACCATTAGAAAGCCTCGACTGAGGATTGATGCTGGCAGCGACCAATAGTTAAGAAGGGGGGGCCCTGGAGGGGGGACCCGCGACTCAGCCAATGTGCGCGTGCCGGGGTCCCTAGTGGAAGGAGAAAGTTTTGGGGTTAAAGGGACTCCGTGGTGTGTGAGCGGGCGTTGGGCCCCCCGCACCCTCCTAGCGACCCCGTCGCCCAGTTCCTATCGGCTGCATTGGCCGCTTCCTGGCTCTCGGTGCTCTCGGGACATAGATACCTGAGGCGGGCTGCAGTCCCTTCTCCCGGAGCCGTAGAGACTGGGCTTGGCGCCCGGGGCGGCTTGGGGAGGAGCCCCAACGCCGCGGTTCTGAACGCTCCTGCCTCGGCTCTGTCACCCACCGGCCTCGGGGACTGCCCGCCTCGCTCGCCGGGCGGTCGAGCACCTGCAGAGATCGCGGCCTCGATGGAGCCCAGGTCTCCCGGCCCCGCTCGCTGCTTAGTGCTTCTCCTCGCCCTGCAGGCAGGAGACCCGGGTTGTGTGACATGGCTTCTGCTTCTCGCTCTGTTTCTCGCTTGTAATTAGGAGATAGAGACCCCCTACCTCCTGGGCTTGTTTGCAGATTAAATTCTTTGATAAATGTGAGGCACTGAAAATACTGCCTGGCACATGGCAATGCCATATACAACTGGAACACTTGTTGTTGTCACTGAGATACCAAGGGACCTCTGGGACAATCTGGGTATGGTCCCTCTTTGCCTAAAGAAACCCAGGCAGGTCTGTAAAATTCTCTCTGCATCTTTTTGATGACTTTTAGCCCTAAATCCAGACTGGGGATATTGGATCTTTTACGTAAGACATTCTTTCCATTCTTCCTATCTTAGAAGCCAAGCCTCCACAGGTCTGTCCACCCAGCTGTGTCGTAATCGCCACCACTCCTTTTGAGGCCCTTCTGAGGTCTGTCTTCTGGCTTACACACCAGGAGCTCCTGACCAGGGAGGAGGAACTGCCCTCTGAGCCCATCCCTTCCCTAAAAGCACAGGTGTGGGCACACCCCTCCCCACAGTGAGTCATTGTTTTGGAGCTGAAAAGAGAAGGCAGCTCTTTTCTCCTGTCTATTTGAGACTTCCTACTTAAACAGAATTAAATAAATCTGGCCTTCAAAGCCAGGCACCTATTCCTGAGGCTGCTTGGAAAAGCTCACCTGGGCTCCAACTGGTTATAGAAAATTCATCATCTCTTTTTACCTGAAGAGGTTGCCTTTCTTGAGCAAGAACTAGTTGTGGCCAAAGACAATATTGCTGCAGTCTAATACTTTAGAGCACAAATCAAATATCACTGCTGGAAGGGCCCTACTGTGGGGGTCTGCTAACCCCATGGTTCACATCAGAATCCACCTCTTGGAGGGGACTTGTTTAAGAGTGGAAGAAGGCTAGACCCCACCCACCCCAGAGTTTCAGCCTGGTGGTCTGGAATGGATCCCTAGAATTTGCATTTCTCATTAGTTCCCACTGATACTTACGGAGCTAGCTAGCAGACACATACTGAAAACCTCTACTTGGGTCCATCCCCTTCATTTTACTCAGGAAGGGACTGTGGACCAGAAAGAAGATGGGGACACACCCAAGACCCCAGTGAATTGATAAAGAAGCTAAGATGAACTATCCAGAGCCAGTGAAACTTGAACCAAAGCTGAAGAAGCTCTCAAAGAGCTGGGCATGGTAGTTCACACCTGCAATCTTAGCCCTTGGGAGCTTGAGGGAGGAGGATCACCAGTTTGAGGACTGCCTGGGCAGTGAGACCCTGTCTAAAAAAAACAAAAACAAACATCGGCATTCCATGTTCTTTCTTTCGGATGTAGAGGAGGAGGTACTCCTGATTGGGTGTGATTATTTTGCTTTTTTTGAGGTGGGGTCCTGCTATGTTGCCCAAGCTAGGCCTCAAACTCCTGGGCTTAAGCGATCCTCTCCCCTTAGCCTCCAAGTAGCTGGGACCACAGGTGCACACTGGGCCTGTCTGGCTATGATTATCGATGACTGAGTTTTAGCTGCTTGTGTTCCTGTAAACCAGACCCCTCTTTGCTTCAGGTGTAAAATAACATCTTTTCAAGTCTGCCAACCCATATGCCCTGTTGAGAGTAGAGCCTTGTAGGACTGGCATCCCAGAGGGCAGGGACACTGATGGTAATAATCAGGGGCTAGAGTCACTGGGTCACAAAGTTCTCATGTACCACCCCATACACACACACACATACACACACACACACACACACACACCTTGATGCTCTACCTGGAATGCCTCCTGGGTTCCTGCTGAGGAGCTGGCATCCTGCTGAGGATGCAAGGCATCATCCCCTCCTCCCTGAGGCCTCCCCTGACCCCTTCAGCTCCCACAACTGCTTTTTTGCTCTCCAGTCACCCTGCCTCGTCGGGTGCCTCACTGGGATGGTTGTGAGCATGAAGTGGGCCAATCCCCTGGGAGTGTTTGGCACAGCACAGGTATGCAGGAGGCAATAGCTCTTACTATCTTGTGTTCATTTGTATTTGCATCATCTCACTGATAGACCACTGTCCCCTTCTGTTTGTGGTTGCGCATGTCTGTCCTTAGCTAGACTGGACTTGGGCAGCACAAAAACTGGCCCTCAGTTATCCACCCTTCTCCTCCCCTCCCCCTTCCTCACATGGTGCCCGCACTTGGCAGGAAAGAAGAAAGGAGAAAAGGAAAATAACACGTTGTGAGCGACAGCAGGTGCCAACCTGTGCCAGTGTTCTGGGTATTAGCCATTATGGTGACCTCGTGAGATTTTGCTGTTTTTCTTTTCACCAGAAGTAAGTGTGAGGGAATTGATGCCTCCAGGGTTTCTCCGCTAGTCAGGGTCTGACTTCAGACTTGGGTGTTCTCCCGCACCTCACCACCCAGCTTATTTTGAATTTACATTAGTTCCACCAAGACTCCCGTTATTCCTCTCCTCTCTTGTGGATTCCTAGGAGAGCCTCCTGAGGGCAGCAGCCTGTGGCCAAGAGGATCCAAGTCCTAGGTAGTGTTGACACTGCCCTCCTCTTTCAAAGATTTCACACTCCTTGCAGGTCTGCTCTGAGGGCATATCTTATAGGCAGTGTTTTATAGACAGAAGTCAAAAGCCAACCCAAGAATACCATTTTCCATTTCTATCAGCTTGCCCTGGCACCTGGAACTCAAATTGCAGCTGATTGGCAAAAGCCAATTGAAGACAACAGAAACTATATCCAGGCAGAGGGTGCTATACACTAGACATGAGGCTAGAAAAGCTCAGAGCCTGAGGCCGGGTCCAGGAACAGAGGGGACGAGGTCACAGAGAGTGTCCTTGAGTCCAGAAAGGGAGCCAGGAAGGTACAGGCTGAAATCAGAAATGAGGGACCACGTCAAACCCCAGGAGCCCTTTGAGGATGATGGTCTGGAGACCAGAGTGGACACTCAGGCAATGGTGTAGACATCAGGCCAGGAGGCAGAACTGCTGGTTTCAGCCCTCATTCTGTTCCTACCTATATCTTGGTTCCCATCTATCTCCTACTCATAACGTAACACAGAGAAGCCACCTGCCTCTCCTTTCCTAAGGATAGGTGAGGAGCAATGGAAGGAAGGACAGTGGGGACTGGAAAGGGTTGGTGCTAGAAGGAAGATGAATCAGACTGTTTAGGGAGAGGGAGAAATGATTACACAAGGCCCCAAAATGGCAGAGGGCGATGTTATAGGAAGAGTTGAGTGTCAGTGTGAGTAGCCAGGCTGTCCTGTTTGGTAGTGAGCTCTCCACCACTGGAGGTGTGAAGACAGGCCAGAGAGGACTCTTGGGTTAGCTAGCAGTGTGGACTAGACCAGGAGCAGTCTATAAAGGGCTGCATAAATCCTTGTGGCCTTGCATGCCATATGGTCTATGTCACAAGGACTCAATACAGCCATTATTGCATAAGGGTAGCCATAGACAATAGGGAAATGAGTGGGCATGGCTATGCTCCAATAAAGCTTTATTTCTGGGCACTGGGAGTGAAGTTCATTTCATTCTCACACGCCATGAAATACTATTTTTCTTTGGCTTTTGTTCTAACCATTTAAAACTAGGCAGACCATCTGTAGCTCTTGGCCCTACAAAAGCAGACTGAATTGGGCACATGGGCTCATAAGTTACTGACTTCTGTGTCAGAGCAGTTAGCCAGAGGCAAAGTGACAAAAGGCACTGTTCCTCAAAGTGGGGTCCCAGGGCACTCCAAATGTTTCAGGACGCCCTGGCCTGGACACCTGAGTTGGAATCTCTACTCTTATCCACTGTGTACCCTAAGAAGCCCTCACATCTTAAAACGCTGAATTCCTGACCTGTGAGTGTAGCAGCCAGATTAGAGCCCAAGGCTCTTTCCTGAGGATGCCCTGAGGACAGCATCTACACAGGGCTTTGCACCAACTGGATGTGCAGTAGGAAGGCACAGGATGAATGAGTCAGACCAGCTTTGTTACCTGGAGCAGGTTACTTAACCTCTCTGTTCTTCAATTGCCTTATCTGTAACACTAAGCTAATAATAGCCCCCATGAGATGGGGTGGTTGTGTTGTGCTATTGTGAGCACTTGGCCTGGTGCCTGCCAGATACAAGGTGTCCGTGACTGTTGACCGGGGATTTTCACTAATGTCATCCTTCGTGGGCACACTCAAACATGAGTAAAGGTGCCAGTGCAGGGCCTTGACTTCAGTGCAGACTTTGTGTTGGCCTCTGTGTCCCTGGGGCATGAGCAGTCACTGGCTGGGTGGCAGCCACATTCACAGACAGGTCAGGTTTCAGGCTGCGGGGTAGAACTGGTTATCCCTTGGGAATTGAGGCCTT